GGGGGAAGAGGAGATGGTGAGTTGACCAGAGTTGGGGTAGCAGAACAGCAGACAGGGACAGGCAGAAACACGAAAGCACGCTGCCCAGAGGTCTGCTGCACCATGTGTGCGCTGGTCAGCCCCCTGGCTGGGGATCGAACTTGGGCCCTAGGCCATGATGGCACTGAGCCCTAACCCCTAGGCCAGCCAGGGAGGCCCTCAGAGGTGAGCTCAAAACGTCTGTCTTATTGATGAGTTGTTAGGTAGGGGAGTTGTTAGGTAGGGGTTAAGCCTGTAATAGAAGAGCAGGAACAGGAACACCTGGGGTTGGGCCTCAAGTACAACCCCAGCCTTAGCCCAACAGGAAGATTCCTCTCTGCTAGGCTCAGCCTCCCTCACCTGCTCCCACCTCATGTCTGTATTCCAGACAGCTGTTGAAAGACCCACAGGTGCTGTTTGCTGGCTACAAAGTCCCTCACCCCTTGGAACACAAAATCATTATCCGCGTGCAGACAACCCCGGACTACAGCCCCCAGGAGGCCTTTACCAATGCCATCACAGACCTCATCAGCGAGCTCTCCCTGCTGGAAGAGCGGTTCCGGGTGAGGAGTCAGACAGCAGCTGGGAGAGGGGGCGGGGGCTTCCTTTGATTTATATGTGGGAAGGGGTGGTGGCTGTTACAGAGAGAGGGCTTGCCAGCACAGCCTCCGGAAAGGGTGGACTGAAGGACAATGCAGCTAAGGCCTGCAGCTGCTGTCTACACCCACAGCTGGAATTGACCCATACCCCAGCTCCTCTGTGCCTTCTGCCTTCTCTAGAAGCAAAGGTCCAGCTGCATTTGCTGACGTGGTAGGGGAAGGAGAGCTCCTCCTAGGATGGGGGTCCCATAGCTGAGGCCATAAGGGTGTGGGCACACCTGTTCATTGGCAGGGGCCCCCAAGTCTGAGCCCAAGTGAGATGGGAAGAAGAGCTGCGCGAGCCGGCCAGGCTTCGCCATGTGCTCACATCTCAGCCATGTGCTCGCATGGAGCCCCTCTGCGCCCGGCCTCACTATGAGAAGTGCTGAGGGGAGGGTTAGGCCGGCTCAGCGGGCTGGTTGCCCGGCTTCTCAGAGCTGTTTGGTTCCTGGCTTACTGCTTCTGTAGAGCTCACGGCTGCAGCTTGGAGTAGTATCCTGGCGCCGTTAGTGTTGTGGGGTTGCACGTCTGACGGCCTTACTGTGGACATTCCACTTACATCTTGCACTGCTTTCTCCCTCTCCCCCAGGTGGCCATCAAAGACAAGCAAGAAGGAATAGAATAGCGGTGTGGATGGCATCACTCCGCAGGCACGGGGCAGCAGCCTCTCCCAGCTGTGGGTCTCCTTGTAGATATCCCACGAGCCCCTGACCCCCGACACCCTGTACATAGATGGTTTTTCTAATAAAGTGTGGCAGAAGCCCCCCCATGTTTCAAAGCTGCTGTGGCCCACGGCCAGCGTACTCTGGCCAGGAGATCCAGATTTCCATATGGGGGTGTTAGAATAAGCTCAGTCTGCAACCAACAACTGGGAGTAGGTTGGGGTTGCTGCCAGGAGGGAAGTGAGAACCCCCCTTCGCCCACGCAGCTCCGCTCCCAGGTCTGCCTTCTTAAAGTAGCACAAGATTGGACCCACACACATGCCACAGGCTTCTCACAGAGTTTAATAAAAACACCCACAGAAAAAATACCCCCCATCATTATAAAAGCTGAATAAGTTGTGTTGTGTCCCTGGTACTTTGTGCAGGGCAGGAGCTCCAGCTAGAGGCTACTGTCTTTTCCAAATGGCCACGATGTTGGAGTCTGTCAGAGCGGTGAGGTAGGTAAAGGTGGGGTTGGCCACCACTGTGTTCACCATGGTCTTGGTCACCGCCTGGCCCAGGGCCTGGGGTTGAGGCCACTTAAGGATCTGGTGGGAAGAGAATGCTCAGGGCTTGTGCTCCCCAGACACCAGCCCAGTGTGTGTGTGTTTAGGGGCGTGGGGTGCATACCTGCACTGGAGCCTGCGGGGCTGCCGGCAGAGGCAGCTGCTGCGTCAGGACCTGCCTGATGTCGTAGATCCACACGTTCCCCTCCTCGTCCCCACAGAGCACAACCCCCTCATCTGCAGAGAGAACAGGAGCCTAAGGAGTGGGCCAGAGCTCCAAGGGGAGGTGGGGAGGGGCGGCAGGCTCACCAGGACAGGCACTGAGCGAGAAGTAGGCCAGATCCGTGGGTGACCACTGCAGCCGAGCCAGCACAACCACTGCCACTGTGGACTGGCCACCCCGGCCTGTCCAGGTCTGGCTCCAGCTCCATAGGCAGATGGTGCCGTGGCCATTCCCCTTGGAGGCTGTGGGAGAGAACAAAAACCTGCCTGAGGGCCTCTCTAGGCCCTTCTCTGTGCCACACTAGGGACCCCTCAGAAGCCCTTTGACCTAGACCCCAGCCTAGGGGAATGCAACCCACAAAGGGCTGGGTCCATTCGGGTCCTGGGGGGTCAGGCTGTCTCTTGAGCTGGGCTCACTCACCCACAACATCCTCATTCACAAATGCCAGCCCATCCACTCTCCGTCCAGATGCCTCAGAGCCCTCAGAGAAGACAAACTCCACTTCACATGCCCTGTGGGGCAGCAAGAGACCCTGGTCAGCTACTTGCACATACGAGCTCAGGCACTGAGACATTGGCCAGGCAGCTGCGCTGGGCCCTGCCTGTGCGAAGACTAGATGGACCCAGAAGGTGCCTTCCAAATGCTGGACGGAGCCACACTTGAGTTCACAGATGGGCGCGAGGAGCCTAGAAGCATGAGGGGCTGGCTCTTTGGGGACTGGGGCATAGCCAGGATGCATTCGGGAAGGTTCCCAGGAGAAGCACTGGGGCCTCGGAAGGGAGAGCATGGGGCTTGCTCTGACCCCAGAGACACTGGGAAGTGGCTGCCTGATGCTCCCAAGCTGAGAGAGTGCAGCAGTCACCCAGAACCCTGAGGAGGCTGAAAGGCGGCCAAGTACCAACTATGAAGAACAGACACATCTGACAGGTGAGAGAAATGGTGCCACAGCGGGGCAGGCAAGAGGCAGGCAGGCACAGGGCTACCCCAACTCTGGCTGGACAATGACCACTGCTGAGGCTTCCGCTGCCCTCCTACCACCTGCCCTAAGAACCTCCCCAGACTACTCCCTGGCTACAAACTATATTACAAAGCTATAGTAATGAAAGTATTGTCATTAAGACAGAACAATGGAACAGAATAGAAAGAAAGAAAACCATGTATACATGGTCATAGGATTTATGCCATAGGAGGCTGGAAAATGAGGAACAGTCCAGCAGCTGCTGGGAAAACTGGATCCCCACACAAACATTAACTCAAGATGGATGAAACACTTGAGTAAGAACTAGAAGCAGGCCCCTTCCTGGTGGTGCAACGGGTTAAAGCACAGCACTACAAAGCTAGCTGTAGCCGCTTCAGCTTGAGTTCGATCCCCGGCCAGGGAGGTGACCCACATGGTGCTACAGACCTCTCCTGACCTGCTCACTGCTCCCCTCAGCAGTGAATTTCAGTCATTTGGCCTGTTCTGCTCCCCACTCTGTCTCTGATGAATCCTCTCACCACCCCCTGATCCTCTGGTCTGTACCCCTTTTCTGTATGCATCAATAAGTAATTTTTAAAAAGGAAAAACTGAAAGCAGATTTCCAATTAAAGATCTGGTTAGCTTGACATGGGTCTTAGCAATGTTTTTCTGTATCTGACCCGAAAGGCAGGGCAACAAAAGTAAAAATAAACATGGAACTCATCAAAATTTGTAGTTGAGCTTCTACACAATGAAGGGAAACATCATCAAAAGTATTATACACAGAGCGAAAGGAGACACTTGCAAATCACATATGATGAAGGGTTAATAATAGCCAAAACACGGGCCCTCCCTGATGGCACAGCGGGTTAAAGCACTGTACTAAGAAGCTTAAGCCCCTTCATGTGAGTTCGATCCCCGCCTGCCCCGGAGGTGACCACATGGCGTGGCAGACCTCTCCTGACCCGCCTGCCGCTCCCCTCAGCAGTGTACTTCGGCGATCTGCCTGTTCTGCTCCCCACTCTGTCCCTGGTGAATCCTCTCACCCTCCACATCTTTGGCCTATACCCCAGTTCTGTATGAATAAATATTTTTTTAAAATAGCCAAAATACACAAAACAATGCAGGCAACTCAAAAATATGATTAGAAATTGGCAGAGAAACTGAACAGTTTTCCCAAGACCATACACAACTGGCCCTAATGAAAAACTCATCTGGGAGGTGCAAATGAGAAGTCAGAGTCGGAGACCTGTCAGCATGACCGCGGCCGGAGGCCAGAAACAGGCACTGGGATGCCGCAAACTGCTGCGACCACCATGGAGAACAGGGAAGGACCTCAAAAAATGGAAAACACAATGGCCAGGGAATGCACTGAAAGCTGGAGACCCCAGGTTCACGGCAGCACTCTGTAGTAGCCAAGGCCTGGGGACAGCCTTCTCGCTGCCCTTAGGAGAATTCAGAATCTTAGTCTGCAGCGAACAAAGCCCAGCTCGGGCTGCCCAGCCTGCTACCTCTGTGCCAACTCCCCAGCTCTGGGCTGTGGCTATGGCCTGCCCGTGCCTCCTGAGCCTGCCCGCCTCGCAGGCTCCTGTGGACAGCCCGAGCCAGAGCCTGTGCCGCGGCTCCCGCTCCTCTGAAGCACCTCACTCCTTTATAGATGGCACCACTTTGGGGCGTACTGGCTGCCTTGCGTAATGTCTGTCTCCAACAGGACCTCAGGCTGTAGCAGGGACCCCAGCATTCTTCAGCCTTCCAGGGGGTACAGACAAACCTCAAGTTCAGGGAGGCAATGAAAAGAGCACGCTGTGGATCGGGTACCTGCTCCTAGAAGCTGCCCACACACAAGTTCACTAGGGCCATGGTGAGGCACCATTTCAAATCCAGTTAAAGACACTACAAATGTTTAAAATTTAGCAGGCAGGTGTGGAAAACTTGTTTCAAGTTGTCCAAGACAAAGCCTCTTATGTTCCCTTCCTTAGTCATTAAAACTGTCACCTGCCAACTCAGAAATAACCTGCCTCTCACCGCCTCTCCTCACCCTGAGCATGGGGACTCCCCGGCCTTCAGACTCCACCTGCGCTGCGACCCAACAGGCCCATTCCCCGGACACCATCACCTGGTCTCCACCTGCCTGGGACGCTGCCCTCAGGAGGGTCACGCCGCTGGCTCTGCAGGAACTGAGTCAGCAGTGGAGCCAGAGCTAAGGGGGAGGTCAGAGGGTCGCACCTGCCTCAGCTGGACAAGTAAGGGAGAGGTCGTAGGCCCTTTCCCCGAGACACGAGCAGGAGGGAGACAGGCTAGCTCTCTAGCTGCCCCGGCAGGGGTTTGGCTCAGCCCTCCTGCAGGCGTGTCAGCCCTCCACACTGGCAGTTCTGCTCTGAGGCTCGGCCTTCTTGGCATCCCAGTCTCACCTCCTCTTCGAGGGCTGGTCCAGCCGCACATCCCAGCAGCAGCAGCCGCCCTCACAGCCAGCTAGCAGGTAGGTGTCTGGGCAAGAGGCCACGGGGCAGAGGCGCAGGGGGATGGAGGTGGTGTCGAGAGTCAGCAGCTGGCTGCAGGAGAGGGAGCGCCTGAGCCACAGACCAGATGTCTGCCCCATCACCGCCAGCCCGCCCCACCCCAGCCCTGCCCCAAAGCCTCACCTGGCCTGGAATTCATAATCGTGGTTGAGCACCCCGATGTCCCAGAGGATGATCCGCTTGTCATAGGAGGCCGCTGAGCAGGAGATGGAAAGAGAGGGGGCCCTGAGGAGATCCTGCCCCTCCTGCAGGTTGCACCCCAGGCTGGACCCAAGTGAGCTCCTCTGAGGGAGGGAGGGAGGATCTGGGGCCTTAACAGTCCTTCTGTTGCTCCAACTTCAGTGCCCTGAACCTCTGCTCATACATCACCCTTAGGCTCAACACATCTGGAAGGCCAGAGGTCCCCACCCTCCCAGGATGGACACAGTGGACCACGCTGCTGAACTCCAAGGGCCTGAGAAGGGTGTGGGTCGAGCTCGGATCTGAAGCCCCACCAGTTGGTCATGAAGCCACGGCCCCTCTACCACAGCCTCGGCTGATCACAGCAGCCAGCGAGGGCCCCGCCACATAAGCTCCCTGCCCGCCCGGGGAGGGTGTGCCGAGGCATCAGGGCTGCAAAACTCGATTGCTGGGGTCCCTGGGAGGATGGGGAGAGGATCTTACTGAAGAGATGGGTCTCATGGGTGGGGCTGAAGCAGAGGGTGGCAATGGCCTTCTTGTGGGCCCGGATGACCCCACAGCAGAAGCCGGCCCGCACGTGTAGCAGCCTGACCAGGCCCCGCAGGCCTGCAGCTGCCAGCACACTCCAGCGCTTCTTGTGGCCTGCCTGTGTGACCACGGTCAGGGCTGTCCAAGCCACAGAGAAGAACTCCTAGGGAGGGGAGAAGTGGTCAAGAAGTGCAGAGCTTCTTATGCGCACGTGCACTGGGTGTGGGGCTCGGGACTGAGGCGCAGCAGCAAAGGAAAAGGCCACCTTGGGAGCAGGGGGCTGGGCCTGGGCCCCAGGGAGCAGGGGTGTGCCCGCTGCCCTGCAGAACGGGCCTGGCCCTCACCTCTCCAGGAGACTTGTACTTGTGCAGAACGATGCCCGTCTGGCAGTCAATCACACACACCGCCTCCCCGCCACACGTGGCCACGGTCTGGGACGTGGCCCCTGCATGCCCTGTGACGAAAGGTCAGCCCAGTAGCAACATTTTCTGGAGTGATCCCTCTGGCTCCCTCCTCCCAGCCTCAACACTTTCAAGCTGCTGGTCTCGCCTGATTCCACCCTGGCTGGCCGCCTGCCTCCAGGTGGTACTCCCAGGCCTCCTGTCTGCAAGCTCGCTCTGCTTTCGTCTACTGTGGTGCCACCTGCCCGCCCGCCAGGGACGTACCCTCCTCCCAGGCTGGCTCAAAGGCACAGGCCCACAGCTGGGTCTCCAGGTCCTGAGGGCTGTTGTTCTTGCTGTGGCACTGCAGGAAGTGCAGGGGCTCCAGCTGCAGGCCAGTCTGTGAGGGTGCAAGGGGTCAGGGCTGCCAAGCCCCTGCTCCCACCATGCTCCCTCCACCTTGCCAGCTTACCTGGCTGCCATCGGAGCTTGGGGGGCTGTCCTCCCCCTGGGCTGATGGCGAGAGGCAAACCCGCTTGTTGGAAGAGAAGTTGAGTGGGGCAGCTTCCGGTCGTTTCAAGGCCACTGGCTTGGCCTGTGGAGGGGGCAGGGAGTGGGCTGAGGGCCTTGTGGCCCCATGTCCAACTGCCTGGGCTTCCTCCCTATCACAGGCTAGGCCTTCTCATTGGCGTGGGAGGACACTGCTGGTCCAGGGTCCGAGGAACCGGCTTGCTATGAGAGGCCATTTCCCAGGCTCGTTTCTAGGAAACCCCCTTCACTTTACACCCCCTCCCCCCCAAGCAGGAACGGACAAAGCAGGTCCTCAGACCCCCATAGCATCACTCACCCTGGGCTTCTGGGCAGCTGTGGCTTTGGGGGGTCTCTCAGGGACCTCTGCTTCATACACCTGGGACCCGCCGGAGGCCACCAGCTCCTCAGAGATCATCTGCACCTGGGTGGATGAGGCATCAAAAGCTGGGCACAGCCCTTCCCCAGAGGAGGGAGGTGAGTGGTGAGTGGTAGGAGACAGCTTTCCTGAGGTGGGAAAGGATCTTCCCACCCCACTCCTCACAAGCCCTTGTGGTCAGAGGCTGCCCTGCAGCCGAGGACACGGAAACCAGGGAGATGGGAGAGCCCAGTCCCAGCTCAACAAGATGAGGACGTACCCGCCACTGGGTGAACTCGCTGAGGGACTCCGGCCCGTAGCGGACATCCCTGACGGCAGCCTTCACAAAGTCGGCCCGGGCCTTCTCAGTCTCCTCCTCGGGGCTGAGTGTGGACATGAACTTCTTCCAGTGAGCTGTGACCTGGCGGGAGAGGAACCAGTTCCAAGCCCAGCCCACCCTAGCTGTCCTGGGCACTCCATGGTCTCTCTGCTCCCAATCTCAAAGCCATAGGTGCTTCACCCTTGCTTTCTAGAAGTGTCCCTGGAAGCTGCCCTAGCTGCAGGTTGCACAAACCTAAGGCCACTCCAAAACCACGCAACTCCCCAAAAGGGAGGAACTGGCCCAGGATAAAGTAACTGAAAGTGTCCTCCCCGTCTTAGGCTGCACCCTCGGGGCCAGGACTTTCAAGGACAAGCACCACAGCCAGGCTCAGAGCAACACACCAGGCTGCTGGGTCAGGGCAAAGAGCTCCCTCAGCATCCTCCACGTGTCCAAAATGTCAGTGTCTCCAGGCCCCGACTGCTCCCATGCTCGACAGACACTCGCCAGCCCTTACCCTGCGAGTCAGCTCCCGGCTCAGGTTCTCCACCTGAGAGGAAGTGGAGGAAGCATCCTTGCCGTTGATCTTACGGAGCTTGGGCAGGAGAAAGGAGACTTTCAGGTTGTCGCTGACCTGAGGGTGAAGGAGAAGGGGCTTAGGAGAGCCCCGGCCTGTGGTCTGCGGCCTTCGGCCTCAGGCTGCGTGCTGGCCCCCAGCACGCGCACCCTACGCCCGCATGGGCAACAAGTACTGCCGAAAACATTCCTGCTGCTCAAATGACTGTCCGGAAGGCAGATTTACTATAAAAAAGGACAAAATCATAACAAAGAGAAGGGTATTAGTGCAAAAGACCTAAGGAGAGCAAGGTATGCTTCCAAATCTCTAGATCTCTGAGTCACACATCAACTCTGGGGCTCATCACTCCACGCTTGTTGAACCTGCTTGTGAGGTTCGCAGCAACTGCACAGCTCCGCGGTCATCCATGATTTCAAATTCACACTTCATCGTCACGGAAACCGGACGATGACTCTGCAGCACTAGGCCCTTGTCTAACAAGGACCTGGCATTCGCCTCTTTTTGGGATCATGGATGGTCCCAAGAGCATCAGCAAGGATGTTCCTGTCCACAGAGGTGGGCAAAGATGGTGGGAAGAGAACTGTTCTACATTTTTCAAGAAATTTATACCCACTGGGGACAACCCTGGTGGCACGGTTAAAACTGCAGCACTATTAGCTATATCATCAGTCATTGAGAACTGAGTTCGATCCCCGGCCAGGGAGCTGACCCGCGTGGCACAGCAGACCTCTCCTGTCTTGCCTACTATTCTCCTCAGCAGTGAATTTCAGTACATCTGCCTGTTCTGCCCCTTCTGTCTCTGGTGAACCCAATCTACCCATACCACCCCCAGCACCTCTGGCCTACTCCCCAGTTCTTCTATGCATAAATAAATAAAAACAAACCTTTAAAATAAAAGAAATTGACACACAGTGGGAATCACAGGCCTATTTCTTTTTTAGGGGGGAGGTGGACCTTCCTTCTTTTTTTGCCTCCAACTTCTAATATTGCACGATAAATTTGATAAAGACAACAAACCATTGTAGTGGCATTAGCAAAATTTAGTTAATGCTGTTCCAAGACTTGTTAATTACTGGTTGCCTCTTATATTTGCCAGAGGTTGGCAAAACTTTTGGTTTCATGGGTGGGAAGAGTGATGGTGCTCACCAAGGAGCTGCAAACTGATAGGCTGTTTCTACTATAGAGAGCAACCTAGTATTACACCCTCCCTAGTATTACAACCTAGTATTACACCTTTGGGGTGGAGGCCAAAGGTGTGCGTGGGAGGGGGGAAGGGGTAAGAAAGTGGGGAGCAGAACAGGCAGATGTACTGACATACACTGCTGAGGGGAGCAGTGGGTGAGACAGGAGAGGTCTGCTGGGCCATGTGGGTTAGCTCTGGGCAGGGGATTGAACTCGTGCCTGCCCAGAGCTAACCCACAGGCCCAGGATAGCTCCACAGTGCTGACACTTTAACTCCTGAGCCACCACGGAGACCCTCTTATCACCACATTTTCAGATGCGAGTACTGCATCAGTTGAAACAAACTGTCATTCACTTTATCTTTGTGGCAAAACTGCCTGAAGTCGGCTAGTTCTGTGCAAAAATGCTTGCGGAAAAGAACTTAAGAGTGAAACTACTTGGAACCAATGGCGAGGGCGGCCCCCACTTACCGTCAGGAAGGGGTTGCCCTCCAGGCTGAGCTCTTCCAGGTCTGGGAACTGGCGCAGGGCGGTGACATCCCCCAGCTGATTGTTCCCGCAGCGGAGGACTCGCAGGCGGGGCAGGCCCAGGTTGGCGGGCAGCATCTGCAGCTGGTTGTTGGAGAGGTCCAACTCCTGCAGCTGCGTCAGGCGGCTCAGGAGCTTGGGATCCAAGTGCTCCGAGAGCAGCTCCAGCCCTGACAGGCTGGCGTGGGGGGCAAAAGACGAGGCTCAGGGGGCAGGCAGGGCTCCCACCCCAGAAGGGCTGCTTCTGAGGGTTCCGCCGCTCCCAACACCGCGCGTTCTAAAATCCCGCAACTACTTCCGAACTCGGGCCGGCGGGTCCCCTCCAGGTGCTCTTCCTGCAGCTGCGGCGGGGAGCGCTGCGCCCTGCTCCCCAGGCTCTCCGTAACTTCCCCACAGGTTACTCAGCGACCCCCTTCCTTCAAGCCCGTCTCCCTAGCAGCCGGGCCCTCTTCGAGCGTAAGGCCACTCCAGGCGCGCCCGCCCCATCTCACAACAAGCCCAGAAGGCGCTCAGCGGACCGGGCAGGGGTTCCAGCCTTTCCTCCCCACCGCCCGGCCCTAGGGGTCACCGGCCCCCCGGGCCCGCCTCTTACTCCAGGCTGCGAATCTTCCCCAGCCGGTCGCTCTTGGGGCGCCCCCGCTGCATCAACAACCGAGCCGAGAGGGGCCCCATGGCGAGAAGACGTGCGACCCAGGGGGGCGGCACCAGCGCCCCGCCGAGGGCGAGCCCCGGGGAGGGTAGGAGGTGCAAACCCCGGGGTGGCGCCGCGCGAGCCGGCCCGTGCGAAAACCGGAAGGAAGCGGCTCCGCGCGCCCCGTGCCCGCGCGCGGACTACAACTCCCGGCGGCCCCCGGGCCCCGCACCTGCGCTCTGGCCGCCAGGACGCGGGGATGGCGGCTGCGGCGGTGGCGGCCCCCGAGGTCCTCCGGGAGTGTGGCTGCAAGGGCATCCGGACCTGCCTGATTTGCGAGCGGCAGGGCGAGAGTGACCCGCCCTGGAGGCACACTCCTCAGGTAAAGGCTGCGAGCGGTGCCGCTGTCACAGCTTCATTCTTCGTATGGGGAAACTGAGGCTTAGAATGGCCGTGAGACAGGACCTGGATCAGACCGTGGCAGGGGCTCTCGCGATGGGGGTGTTATCGGGTGTGGAGGTGAGGGAATGGAGGAGTGGGCTTGAAGTGGGGAAGGGGCTGGGACTTGGGGGAGTCTGACACAGCCTCTACAGTCGCCTGGGAGCTTCCCTGCAGGTGGGGGGACAGAAAGGAAGGTGCCGAAAACCAGGGCAAGGTACCCAAAAGGTCTTAGGCGGAAATTAGCACGGAGGAAATTAATTCCAAGTAATGGAAAAGCACTCAGAGCCTTTGAACTGGGCCTGTAAGTATTTTACTTGGCTGCGAGGGTGTCCCAGCGGAGAACTGCTTGGGGTGGGTGGATGGGCTTGCAAGGTGAGGGAGATGCAGTGGGTGGGACCTCCCCACAGCGGGTCCGTGTGTGGCTGAAGGGCCACGAAGAGCTCCTGAAGGGTGTTAAAGGATGTTACATGTGAATTTTAGAAGGCTCCTGGGCAGTGGAGGTGGAGGAGGAGGCAGACAGGGAGTCCTAGAGGCTGGGAAGCCAGTGAAGAACTGCCACCGTAACTGTGGTGACACGAGATGCTGTGACAGTGGTAGGGAGGTTCTTCAGAAAAGAAAAACTAGAACTATCACGTATGGATAGGTATATATCTGGATAGGGACTCAAAAGAAGTGAAATGGGAGCCTGCAGATATGTGTACAGCCATGTTCCTGGCAGCTGTATCTGCATTAGCTATGAGTGAGGAAATGGAAGGTGCTGCGTACTTACAATAGTATAAAAGCGACTCTTAAAAAGGAAGGATGTTCTGGACGCTGTGGATGGATTTTGAGGATTATGCTAAATGAAATAAGCCAGTCACAAAAGCATAATCACTGCCTGAGTCCATTTATATGAGGTACCCAGAGACAGAATGTAGAGTCGGGTGGGGAAGAGAATGGGTGAGTAATTCTGGTTTTGCAAGATGAAAAAGTTCTGGAGATTGGTTGCACAGCAGTGAGATCTAGTTAACACACTGCCTTGTACACGTAAAGCTGGCTTACCCTTTTAATAAAAATGTCATGAATTATATATTCACATGTTTACATTGAGTCTGACATAATGTAACATTATTTGGCCTGTTGTAATGAGTAACTAAGATGTTCACAATTTCAGTGAAGATGAAAATGATAAATGAAAAAAAAGTTTAAGATGGTAAACTTTGTGTTTTACTACAATTAAATATTTCAAAAGTACCAAAGGTCTGAACTCTCATGTCCATGGTTGTCCCTACATAGTGCGCTGTGGGGGCATCACGCCCGACTTGATGATTGCGGGTGAGTGAAAGATAAAGGGTGGCCCCCCACTTTTAGAGTGTCCTCTGTGAGGTGCCAGGAGACAGAGGAAATGGTTCAGGGATGGGGTGCAGAGTGATGCCTGGGGAACACAAGGGGGGAGGAAGCAGAATTCACCGGTGGGAGGCCCGCGGACTGCCATGGATCTGACATTTATCATGGCCAGCATCACCTGGAGCTCCAGGACAGTGAGTGCCCAGCCAGCCACGGACAGGGGTCCTGTGCTGGCAGAAAGGGCCTGGTCCTGCTAGGTCGCTGGCTCTGCCAGGACCTCTTCAGACAGGTGCGGAAGGCACAGCAGGTGGGGGTCAGCCCGGGGCTCCTAGTGGATGACTTGCAAGTTCTGCTGTCTTTGAAAGGAAACTTAGAAGCAGGCTGGAGGCAGGGCCCAGAGACTCCCCCGCCTTGGCTGGAGAGGCCCTCTGCCCCACCCAGGTGCTCTCACCCCCTGGATGGTCTGGGGCCTCACTTTACAGGTGGCCGATTTCCCAGGCTCCTGGTCTGGCCTAGGTTTTTTCGTACTGGCTCTCTTCCTGATCCTCCCTGAAGCCATACATCAGCCAGCAGGGACGGTGTGCACTGCAAGGCTACCCTTAGCGGGCAGAGCAGGCCGGGCCCTTACCTTTGCCGGGCACTCCATCTGCGAAATGGGGGGTGAAAAAATGGTTATTTGACTCTCTCCGTTTACAGGTGAGGAAGGTGAGAAAGGCGAGAAAGGGGCCTTTCTCTGGAGGCAGCTCCAGGCACCTAAATGACTTCAGGAGAAACCCCCTCAGGAGACAGCCAGGGGGTGCTACTCCCAAGGGGGCTTCTGAGGGGCACACCTGTGTGGTGTGAGGCAGGGCTACAGTGGCTCCATGACACCCATCTTTTGCAGAAAACCCACCGTTTCATTTACTTCTCTGATACCGGCTGGGCAGTGGGGGCCGAGGAGTCTGACTTTGAAGGCTGGGCCTTCCCCTTCCCGGGGGTGACCCTGATCGAGGACTTTGTGACCCGGGAGGAAGAAGCTGACATGGTGCAGCTGATGGACCAGGAACCCTGGAAGCTCTCACAGTCTGGTCGGAGGAAGCAGGTACTTGGGCTCAGAGCTCCGGGGGTGGCTGGCCAGTCAGGGGGACTGGCATGCTGCTGGGCCCCTCTGGCTCCTGGCCCTCAGCCCCTTTGCTCACCTCCCTCTCTGGGCCCTCTCCAGCCACACCTGTGACCCTAGGGGCATTGGGGGCAAACTTCCGACCTCAGCCCTGGCATCACACAGTCCCAGAACACACAATCTGCCCTTGGGCTTCTTGTCTCTAGCCCAGCTTTCCGGGGAACCTGGGCTCAGACATCCTGTGACCACCGTACCCCCATTCCTTGCCTTAGCTTCTCCCTTAGCACACGCTGCCACCTGATGTTTGCCACTGACAGGTACTTACTGCTGCCTGCTGCTGGAATGTCAGGTCCGCCGAGCCCCTGGGCCTGTGACTCAGTCTTCAGACCTGGCCCGTCTTAGCTCTTTCTGTAAGCCCGATCTTCTCCTCTCCCTTTTGTCCCCTCATCCTTCAGGACTACGGCCCCAAAGTCAACTTTCGGAAACAGAAGCTCAAGACCGCCGGCTTCAGTGGCCTCCCCAGCTTCAGCCGGGAGCTGGTGCGGAGAATGGGCCTCTACCCGGTCCTCGCGGACTTCCAGCCCGTGGAGCAGTGCAACCTGGACTACTGCCCTGAGCGGGGCGCGGCCATCGACCCCCACCTGGATGACACTTGGCTGTGGGGGGAGCGGCTGGTGAGCCTCAACCTGCTGTCCCCCACCGTGCTGACCCTGTCCCGGGAGACGCCGGGCAGTCTGCTGCTGTGCCTCGCCCCGTCCGGCCTCCTGGCGCCCTTGGTGGAAGGTATGATGGCGCCCAGCAGGTCCGTACTGTGCCAGGAGGTGGAGGTGGCCGTGGCCCTGCCCCGCCGCTCTCTGCTGGTGCTCAGCGGGGCCGCGCGGCACCAGTGGCAGCATGCCATCCACCGCAGGGACATCGGGGCCCGCCGCGTGTGTGCCACCTTCAGGGAGCTGTCGGCCGAGTTCGGTCCTGGTGGGAGGCAGCACGAGGTGGGGCGGGAGCTCCTGCGGCTCTCTCTCTCCTTTCAGGGGAGACCCATGTGAGCTGTTCCCTGGGGACAGGGGTGGCGCTGGGCCTGGCCAGAGCTGCCAGCTCCGGCTGACCATTCGCCAGAACTGAAGGGGGAGCTCGGTGCCAGAGCCTCTTCTCCCAGCTCAGGAGGTTTCAGAGAACAGAGCTCGGCACCCCGCACCCCGGCAGCCCAAGCCCGCTGGGGAGTCAGCATTGATGGACGGCCTCAGAGCCGTGCCCTAGACCTGCCCCCGGCCGCTGTCTGGGCTGTCACACGGAGGACAGTGGGTCGTTTGAGTTTAAAAGTTTGCTGTTATTTAAAACCATCTTCTGCTCTGTCCAGCACGCCTAGTGAGGTTCCCTGTACCCGACCTGTGGACTCATTGAGTATCATGAAGCCTGCAGAAGGGAACCGATAGATTTGAAGCGGCTACTGTTCCAGACTGCAGAGCTGGTGCCCTTGGGCTCACCTGGGTCCCTGACTCCGTGGGGTGGGGATACTGTGAGGACAGGAAAATCTGCCAGCGTGGCGCCCCTCCCCCCCACAGTGCTGTTAAGAAGGAAGGAAGGAGTCTCAACTCCCAGCCCTGCTCCCTACTGTGGAGCGCACACCTGCTGCCAGGTGAGGCACACAGGTGAACTTGAAGGGGTGTCAGTGGGCCTAGGCCTGTGGGGCCAACCCTCTCCCTTGCCAGGAGCCAGACTTGGACAACAGGGCCCCACCAGAGCCCAGAAAGCTTCACGATTGGCACGAGTCTTTACAGTCACCCAGCGCCTTCTAAGAGCCGTTAGGTGGGGAGACCTTTGGCTTCTGTGCATGCTCTGCTGACCTTGGTCTAGAGAAGCCTGCAAACACCCGTGCAGGGGTTGCTGGGGTGTCTAGTGGCTGAGTGAACCCAACTGCAGGGGTGGAGTGAGAGGTCGGTTCCCAGATCACCTTGACTGCCTCTCTCTGGGTCAGCTCACCCAGAACAGAAAGGTCTTTGTGCCGAGATGACGCCCACCTGGCCCTCAGTGGCCCTGCTGCAGGCCCGTGGCATTCAGGTGCATCCCAACCAGCACCCAGTGGCTCCTGCTGTGCCTGGGTAGTTGGGTGGGTGCGTAGCCCTGGTCAGCTGGAGGCTGAAGGGAACCTTAGAGCAGCCAGCCGCCTGCCAGAGCCTGTGAGAGCCAATGCCAATGCCAACCGAATTGCCGCGCTCAGACCTGTGGGGCTAAGGCCCATCAGGCCATTCAGCAGAGGCCCCTCCCCCACACCGCCCAGCCCTTGGCAGACACCTGACAGCTGGCCTTTCCAGCAGGCCCGAGCAGCAGCGCACAGGAAACCCTTGATGGCCTGCACGGCCCGCAGATCGCACCTCAGGAATCATCATGTCACATTGTGGCCATGTTGGCGACCCCATCTTGGTTTGTCCTTAAAACAGTGTGCCCACCATCTTACCTGGTGCCCACTGGGATCGGGCTGGGAGATGACCAGGCTGGGGCTGAGCCACAGTCACTCCTGGGCCCCACACTGCTGCCCTGGATGTTTCCAAAGGGCAGATCCCAGCAGCCACAGCCTGAGGGGCCTGGACAGATGCTTTACCCCGTGTCAGGTGGTGGGTCCACGTCCAGCTCATTCTCCTTAAGCTCGCTGTTCTTAGGCTCATGTTGTGCAGGCTGTTTGGTCTAAGCTGATGCTTTTGCACCGCATGAAGCTCAGAATAAACGAACCTGAATCATCCACGTGCTGACCTCCCTCTTCCAGAGTCTGCAGGCAGCGCTTTCCTCAGCCTGCCCTGCTTGGAGGGGTGTTGAGGAGACCTGAGGCCATTTGTTTGGAGACACTGGTCTGTCCTAACGGGGAGGCGAGGCTGGTTCAGTCAAGGAGCACACTGGGTTAGCCCTACCAGAACTGAGTAATCAAACTGACCCATGTGGTACTCCCAGAAGCCTGTGGGCAGCAGGGTCAGGAAAGTGTGCCCCAGTTCTCAACGCTGAGTGAGGAGTTTGTGGGCTCACTCCTGTCCCACCTTGCGCCACTGGGCCTTAACCCTCTGCAGGCATCTAAGCCACAGCTGCATCTTGAGAGGTTACCTGGGCGGCATGTGCAAAGATGTCCACAGGTGGGGAGGGGTGACTGTTTTTTCCTTTAAGGAATTTTCAGCCCCCCACTTGAAATGGGCCTGGGGAGCATGGGCTTGCTGGCGTGGGGCGCTGCCCTGAGCCCTGACCTCCAGCCCACCAGGGCCTGGAGAGTGTGGGGCTGCAGAGACAGTCTGAATCCCGAGATTGGCAGACATTTTCCAGACAGTGGTGCCACCTGCATGGCACACCTCATGCCAGGGGCCTCTGGTTGAAGTACTTAAAAATTACAGTCATATGGAATAAAAAATAAAGGACAAATTTTCCTCAAAGAGTGCCCCTGCCTCAGCGGGCAGCACAACACAGAACCCTGCCAGAACCCACAGAATCCTCTTCAGTGCCCCCAGGCCGAGGCATGAGGTTGGGGACTCCCTCGGCCTCAGGGGCTGCTGCTCTTGCTCTGTTTCCAGAAAGGGAGAGCCCAGCTTGGGAAGGGAAGTAGCAGGCAGAGCTCTCAGTTGACACGGCACGTGCAGGTCCCAGCACCCAACCTGTGCATTCCAGAGAAGTCTCCCCCTCACCTGGAAAGCCAGATAGTGTAGGAAAACCAAAGTGACTCCACCTTGTGTCAGCCCCATCTGAGGCCCGTGACCATAACTGCCCTAGTCTGGGAGAGTAACCAGTTGCCGCCACACGTTAACTCCTCATCCACACACAACTCCATTAATCTAAGCCCACAGACACACGTGGCACGTGCCCCAAACATGTGGCATCACTGACCTTACATAAGGTGATCATGCAGTAAAATAAACAGGGTGTGAGAAAGACCCCGGATCCTGCCGCCCTGTCCATGTCCACTGGCTCTGAGTGCCCTTAATAAACCTCAGTGTGATTAATGAACAAGTCTGCCCAAATCACCTTAATTGGGCAGAATTTGCAAGCTCCCACAGCTGTATAGCCGGCTGGCCACCAGGCCAGCTGCCCAGGGAGCAGCACAGAGTTGCAGGGAAGTTGGGGGGGGGGGGGCAGCGGGTGAGGAGGAGTGGCCAAGCCCTATCAGCTGGGGCAAATCCAGGTGCCACTCGGGCTAGGTGGGGAAAGGCAGCTGGCGGAGCTAACAGAGCAGCGCTCTGGGAAAGGCATGATGCGCAGGGTTGGTGAGGAGTCTGAACACAGCTCACTGAGGGAACACGGGTTTGGAGAATAAAAAGAGAAATCAGAATATTCAAAGGTGATGGCCTGCAGGCGGCTCCGTGCAGGGGCCCCAGAGCCCAGCAATTCCTGCCAGAGACCAGGACCAGGACAGCGCTAGTGTGGGTGACGAGTATGTGGTAGGTGAAAGAGAAAAATCTGTGCCTCAAAGGGCCATTAATCGCACAAAATCAAACACAAGTGACTACTGTGGTTGACTGGGTCATAGCTGCGGTGAGGTTAACTTGGCCCCATCGGGGACAGGGACTGCTCTGGAGGAATTTGATGTTGGAAGTCGCAAACGAGAATGACACAGGCTGCCGGTGCTGATCATGGTCCAGGGAGGGAGGCCCACGCTGCCCTCTGCTCCCGGCCCAGTGGGTGCTGGGTGCGGAGCAGACTGCACCTGTTGAGCAGACCCTGAGGCACGAGTAGCTGGGTAGAAGTGACAGGCTGGACCAGCAGGAAACTGGGAGGAGGCGGGTCTAAGCCTTTCAAAGCCCGCGGGACAGCAAGCCAACGGGCCCGCCAGAGTGGGGAACAGCCGCGGGTCGGCCGAGCCCCTGCGACGAGGGTCTGCTGCCCACCAACGCTGCCCTCCCCTCTGTGGCAAAAGCTGCCCCCACAGAAATGATTTTCCCCAAGCCGGAGAGGGTGCTTCCCCCCCTATTTCCTGAAGAACAGGGGCAGGTGGCGCGGCTCCCCACTGCGCAGCGGGAGGCCTGTCTGCCCAGCAGTGTGGCCCGGCCCCACTCCACCAAGGGGCAGTATTGCTGCGGTGGCCTGAGCAAATGTATTTTTTTTTAAAGATTTATTTATTTATTCATATAGAATTGGGGTACAGGCCAGAGATGTGGAGGGTGAGAGGCTTCACCAGAGACAGAGTGGGGAGCAGAACAGGCAGATCGACAAAGTACACTGCTGAGGGGAGCAGCGGGCGGGTCAGGAGAGGTCTGCCGCGCCTTGTGGTCACCCCCAGGGCAGGCGGGGATCGAACTCATGCGGAAGCGGCTTAAGCTTCTTAGTGCTGCACTTTAACCCGCTGCGCCACCAGGGAGGGCCGAGCAAATGTATTTTAACTGACAGCATTACAGGGCAGGGCGAAGTGCCCTGCACACAGGCCGCACAGTAGTCCCGTCGGCGGGACGGGGGTGCCGGGGCCCCCTGAGCAAGCAAGGCCCCTCGGCATGTCGTGCTGCCCCTCCGAGCGCAGCCCCCAGGCTGGGATCACGTGTCCTGGGCTTGTCTGCGTCAGCGCCCCCTCGGATGCCCCAGCCCTTGGACAGAGTGGCTTTCCTGAGTATGGGGAGCACATTCGTCCTGCACTGGCAGGGACAGGCAACGGGGAGGCGGAAGGGTTTCAGGAGGGCTCACGGCGCACACCAGGCAGGAGGGGCCTTCCACGCCAACTCTCTTCAGGAGGCCCCGGAGAGCAGAGTAAGTCAGAGCGTTACGTGTTTATTCAGTTCAATCCAGGGCAACGGTGTTAAAAATTCACACACAGGGTGGGGGCACGTACCCCATACACGATCTAGAGTGTCATGCATAATGAATGATCAGCATGAGACAGGCGACATCCACGGAGGCACCCCAAACCCCCAGGGCTTGTGCCGCCGTCCCCAACAGCCCTTCCTAGAAGACACTAAAACACACTGCCTTCAGTTCCTAAAATAGAGACGCGAGTTTTGAAACTTCTGGTCAGGTACAAACGGGAGGTTGCGTTCCGGTTTGGAAAGAGCCTCCGCGCGTCTCAGGAGCACCGGGAAGGCTCTGTGCGGGGAAAGTAGGGCAAGGCCACGCGGGTGGCCGGCGGCACGGCACGGAGGCCCAGCCTCGGACGTCCGCAATCAGGTTAAGTCTCCGGAAATGAATTTCTACCCTGAGACCCGTCCTGCCCTCCCCCACGTGTGCTGCCGGGTGGTTCTGCAGCTCCAAATGCAGCTTTTCATCCTGACAAGATACGGGGTCACCTGAGGTTCCTTCCACCACCAGGCCCCGTGCACAGTCACCTCTGTCACCACAGAAATCCGATGCAATTACCCCTCTGGCAACTATCACACTGGCTGGGTGAGCCTGTGGGTGAAGGAGAGCAAGACACAAAAGACCCTTTTCTTCCTATCCGTGTGGGGCCGCCATAAGTCATCCAAGTGCCTGGCTCCAATGCTGCCCCTCAGCTCCAAAGCTCTACCGCCCCAAGACTCACTCCTGCTGGGGCACAAAGGGGTGCCTTGCAGTGAAAAAGCAGAATAAACCAAAAGAGCCTTTCCAACAGGGCTGCGGCAAAGAACAGACATGACCAGAGAGCGAGCGAGTCACGAGACGTGTGCAGAAGATGGCTCCCGGGAAGGAGCTCTTCCTTGGGCCCTGGGGACGAGATGGCCAGACTCCGCACAGATGGCACAACACCGCTGCTCAGCCCCCAGAGGGCCCCCATGTTTCACAGCAACGTGTCAAGGTTATGTTGGCAGCAGAACATCAGATCCCAGAGCCTCAGCCAGCTCTTGGCCCAGGCCGCCCACCCCACAGGGATATCAGCAGTCAAGAGGGTGTCGCCAGAGGGCGAAGTCCAGTGGTTATTTACGAAACAAAAAGGTGTCTCCTCCCAGCGGCTGTGGCTTTCAGACAGCACAGGGTGCTGCCAGCTGCCGAGCGACAGCGCGTGGGCGTAGGGCCACCAGACAGCTTAGTGGAAACCCCAGAAGCCACTTCGGCAGAGGCTGCATAAACATGTGAGCTGGTTCCTGTGTGTGGCTGAGGGGGCGGGGCTGGGAGGGGAGCGCTCTGGGGCTCCCTGCGTCTGCACTGAGTCATTAAACGCAGCCCTGCGTTTACCCAGGGCTAGCCTCTAGCCCCGCCACCCACAGACACGGCAAAGACCTTGTCTAGACAGAAGTCCCCCAGACTACCCCCTCCCGCCGCTGGGCCCATAGCCACGGCCTTCTGGAGGCGGCTGACTCAGGCTCAGAGACCATACTCTGTGGCCAAGAGGTGACCGTCTCTGGACTGTGGGTCCTTTTCCCAAGCCAGTAGCCTTCCTGAGTCAGCGTGGCTGGGGCTCCGGGCTGAGAAGGCATCCAGGCCTGGGGTGCTTCAGAGCACCTCTCGGGAAGTGACCTTCAAGACACGTCACACAGGGGCCACGGCACGGCATGCCCCCCAACCCTGGTCAGGCCTCCGCCTGATGTCTCCCCCAGAGCCTGGTGACTCTCCTCCCCCAGAGTCTGACGGGGGCTCCGGCCACACCTGCCGAGCTGGCAAGTGCCCCAGCTCTTGCCCCTTCACACACAGGCCACCTGACTCCCTCCAGCCCAGAGGCGGCGGCAGCAGGCCGCGCTGTGCTCCTGTCCCCACCTAGCACGGCAGTGTGACCCTTGCCCACCGCGCTCCCTGCAGCCACTGGCGGTGCTTCCAGTTCTCAACCCCCCTGGGCCCCTGGGAGCTGCTCAGAACCCGGCCGCCGGCTTGGGAAATCCGCAGGCTGAGGACTCAGTCTTTGCCCGAAGCTCTTAGCTACAGAGTCTCTCATTTGAAGATTTCCATTTTCAGAGGGGAAACGATCCAGGTTTTACAGCATAAACACAGGAGTAAAACTCTGGTCTTGACCTATCTGGCAGTGTCTAGCAGCCTCCTTACCACTTGCCTTTTCTTGAAACTCCCCAAAGGCAGGTGACCTCCGCTGGCCCGGGCTGTGTCGGCAGCGCCCAGGGAGCCGCTCGGCCTCACACGACCTGCAGGCTGCGCTCGTGCCCGTCCAGCTGCACCTTGAGCTTGTGCAGCTCCTCGATCTCCCGGTTGTGCCGCTCCGTTTTGTGGCGCACCAGCGAGCGGTAGAAGTGGATGGTGAAGACCACGAAGATGAGGCCCACGGGCACCATGATGATGGTGGACACAAGGGCGGCCTGCCAGCCGGTGTGGCCGCCGGGGCCAGGCGGGAGGCCGGGCTGGTGGCGGGCATCCACCGGGAGGAACTTGATCCAGCAGAGCAGCACCACCTCAGCCAGGAAAAGCAGGATGCCCAGCACGGTGGAGAAGCCCCAGGCCAGCTCGATGTAGGGGTGCATGCGCTCGTGGGGGGACTCGCTGATGGAGTTGAGGTTGTGGATGTTGCTCACGGCCTCCACGTTGGGCAGGATGCACGTGCTGATGAGCAGGGCGAAGAGGTGCACAGCCACCAGCACCGTGGTGCAGGCGCTGAAGGCGATGAGCAGCGGCCGCGGGTACTGGTACTGCGTCTCCAGCTGCACCTCCACCATGGCCACCTGAAAGGCAGAGCAGGCGCTGGGCGGCCCACGCCCGCAGGCCAGGCCGCTGCGGGTCCTCGCCAGCAGAGGGCGCCCTCCCCACGCCCTCCCCACGGGCCGAATGGTCTGGACTGACTTTCCAACTGGCAAAGATCTTGCTGAGGAATAATCCGAGAACTACTGGGGAGACTAAAGCAGTGCAGAGCGAGGTGGGGCAGGGGTGGGGATCACCCTCTAGGCACCCAGACACGGGATGTGGGGTGTCTGGGGTACTGAGCTGCAAGCTAGGGCAGAGGCTACACTCCCCTGGGAGACATGAAGCTTTGCCAGTGGCTGCAGTGGGCTTAGTACAAAACTGCCATTTTTCTAAAAAGAAAAACTGACCATTTAAAAGGTTACAAAAAAATAAAAAAAGAGAGAGAAAACAGAGGCTTCTAATGGTGCCCAGACTCAGGCGTGCTCTTGGCCGGCCTCACACAGACCGCAAGGAAAGGAGCATGTCTCAGGGAGACCATGGGCCCAGCTGTGTCTCTAACATCAGGAATGGGGATCTCAGAGGAGACAGCCTGACCAGGGGAAGCTGTGGGAGGGGGCTGGGCCCAGCAAAGCGACTGAATCACTCAGTGCAGCCACAGGATGCCAGAAGGTCCTGTCTGAAGTGCATAAATCAAGACATGGCCGGCTCCAAGTGTCTTTAGCAGTGTGAAGACTCAAAGAACTATACTGGCTGGGGTGGGGGGTTGCTGAAGTTTATTATAAGCCTTTGGATTATACGTACTTGAATTTTAAACTATGTGCACACATTAACTTTGATGAGATAAAAAGGGTTTTTAAATGAGAGGGGATAAAAAGGCCGCAGAGGGAAGCAGAGGCCCCAGCCTGTGTCTGGAGCGAGGAGTCTGCAGCCACTCAGGCCGGGGGCTGCTGGCACGGTCCTGCAGGCTTCTCACTCGGGCACCCTGACCTCGCGTCCCGGCCAGGCTTCCTGACCGGCCCACGCTGCACGGCTCCCTCGGGGCCTGTGCTCCAACCTAGGGCTGTGCTCACTTCAGCGAGGACTACAGCTGGACAGGGCTGCCTCCCAGGCACTCAAAGCTGAGAAACCAGAGCAGTCACTGGAGCGGGGCAGAGAGAGAAGCCAGAGGAAAGCGCTTCACACCATTTGCCAGACATCTGAGCCACCCTTGTTTGTTTCATTTTCTTTTTTCTTTCTTTCTTTTTTTTTTTTTTAATATTTTAAAGAACAGGTTCATTAGGAAAAGGAGAGTAAAAGAGGCGCCTGCACAGTCCAGGTGGGCAGGAGAGCTGCTGAGCCAGCCTTGTTTTAAAAAAAATTACAACAAAGAAAGTCTCAGAATTCCTTGCAGCAACTGCCACACTGAGCTCAGGGTGAGAGCCTCCGCCCTCAGTGGAGCTGGGACACTGGTAGGCGAGAGAGGATGTGGTGCCCGCTGCGGCCCAGAAACCCGCAGTGGTGCCTGTCCCACGCACGGACTGAGGGGCGTCTTCCCTCTGGGCCTGTGGCCTGGCCCGGCTCGCTAGCCGGAGATGGCCCAGCCAAGGAAGCTGCACAGAGCAGAAGGCTCTGAGGCAAGAAACAAAGATGATGACAGGGAAGGGAGGGAGGCTTGCAAAGAAGGCGGTTTTGTTCTATCTCAAGGGGAGAAAAGTCCATTTTTCAGTGTGTTTATGCAAAGATTTCATGAGGGGCCTTGGAGCGCTGGTTCTCAGTGAGAGGGGAAGGATAATGGTGGATGAGCTTGTGGTTAGGTCTAAGTGCTTGTCAAACAAAGAGAGCTTTGCCGTTCTAATTAGGGAAGCCATAAAACGGGGGACTCTGCCAGGCAAACTGCCTGCTTTTATTTTTTCCCCCATGTCCCTGCCCTAATTTAATATGGTCTGAGCAGCTGATACAGCCACTGGTATTTGCCATATCTTTCTCCCAAGCTGCTCCACAGCCTGAACAATAGCCTGATTGAGTGGTGGTATCTGATCGAATCAAATGGAGCCCAGCTGCTGCTGCTGCTTTTCCCACCCGGCCTGGTGCACGCTGTCCCGGCTGAGAGGGACCTTCCAGAAGAGAAGGCACAGGCACAGTGTTTTTGAACTATCCCAGAGTGCTGAAGGAAGCCCTTGCCAGTGCAGAGGAGATACTCCATAAAGGTTAAAGAAAGGACTGTATGGACCTCTCTGGTGGTGCAGCAGGTTCAAGTGCAGCACTGCAAGCTGGCCACAGCCGCTTCAGTGCGAGTTCGATCCCTGCCCCAGTGGTGACCCACCTGGTGCACAGACCTCTCCTGGCCCACCCGCTGCTCCTCTCAGCAGTGTATTTCAGTGAACCTGCTCCCACTCTGTCTCTGGTGAGTCCTTTCACCACCCCTGCACCTCTGGCCTGCACCCCAGTTTTGTATGCATAAATAAGTAAATCTTTATTTTAAAAGAAAGAAAAGGACTGTGACTGCACAGGGCAGGGCGGTGCCCTGGCCACGCTGGGGCCAGACAGCACCCCCAGGAGGCCCCTGGAAACTCCCACCCGGGCTCTTAAAGGTCGCTGGTGTTTCTCACGCAAAGACCACTCCAATCCCTGAGGGCTGTGCCTTAGTCTCAACACCCGGTCCAGGGTTCACTCTGTGTTTTACAACTTCATTCATAGGACTTCTTTTCAGATTTTAATAAGTGGTTTTAAAGCTTTCAACTTTGAGCATTTTGTTGGCTTAGCTTCCATGAATTTGGAAATTCAAACTCCAAAAGCCAGGGACTAAAAAGAGCAGCAGAAAGGAAACAGTCTTACTGCAGTAAGTCATACAATACTCCTGGGTTAATTTTCCAAAGTTTTAAAAAAAAGTATGGGCCAAAAAATTTTAATGCAATAGTAGAATTGGTGTGGTTTACCAGTTCTAGTTTTAACAGTGCTGTCTACGCTTCTCAAACACAGCCCTTACATTTCAGCTTGAGAAAGCATTCCTTTTAATACGATGGAAACCATGGGAAGAAAATTACTATAACCTAAATTTACGTACCTTGTGATTACACACACTGGTAATTATGTTAAATAAGACGTGCATAAGCCGTGGCTTTAAACTACAGACCTAAGCCCAGGTTTACTGTCAAATTAGGTGGCCCCTGCCCTGCCCTGGCTGAAGTCACGCCTGACACGTAATGTCTCACTCCCCAAGGGTGGCCCACGCTGCTGGCCTGCTGGCTCTTGTCATCGGGACGCCACAGAGAATCCTACCTCCTGCATCCTCAGGGGCATTTCCTGAAAGAATGTGGGCCCAGGGTCCTAGGAGGTAGCAGGCAATGTGCCCTTCCTTAGGGGACAGGCATGTGCCCAGGATGAACTCTCGTCTGGGGGGTGACGCAGAGGGAAAGCTGCAGGGAGGTGGCCAGGAATCTCCCGAGGCCACAAGCAGGGAGCATCTGCATTCCTGGCTGAGCTAAACCCAGTGAACCCCAAGCAGCCCCAGTTCCTGCTCTAACTGTGCAGAGTCCCAAACACTTGGGAGGTGCCCGTGATGGGGCAGACGGGCCCTTTCCTCAGCTGAGGCCTGTACACTGATGCTACTTTAATCACCTAATAATGTCCTTGCCAGGCAAATACTTTATGTGAACACGAGTGGGGCTTTCTGAGGGCTCTACAGAAAGAGGTTTGGCGTCGCCCCTGGACACCCCAGCACACATCCCCAACTGACAGTGCAGAGGAGCTAGTGGGCCGTGACTCCCTAATGGTCCATCTTGGCGGCCAGCAGGGTGCAGAGGGAGTGTCCTGCTCTCTGAAGCGCCACAGGACCTGGCCAGCTCATTTTGCAGGCTGCCTTCCCTACCGTGTTGACTCACCATGGCGAAGCCTGAGAGGAGGGCGGAGGTGCGGCTGGAGGCCTTCAGCTTGGCCCTGCTCAGGTAGAGCTTCCTCCAGGAAAGCGCCTGCACGGAGTGGTGGTTGGAGGTGACCAGTTCCAGGTAGCTACGGCGGACCCAGTCCCGGTAATCCATGCCCTTGGGAGCCGGCTCAGGGCAGGCCGGAGTGGAAGGGTCCATAGGCACGTTGAGCTCGGCGCTCATGGTGGGAGCCAGGCTGGGGGCGGAGACAGACACTCAGGCGTCCCAGAGGCTCCAGGGCCTGGAACACCAGGACCCAAGGCCCCTCACCCTCGTGACCGCACACACCAGTATAACCAGACCCCTGGGGTCTGCATACGCAGACACACAGCACCCCGATGGAGTGTGGGTGGGAGGCCCTGGCCCCTGAGGTCGCCCCGACACCAAAATGTGGGGACAATCTGCAGGAGGTGGTCTCACACTTTCCAGGCACCACCATCAGAGCAGGGAGCTGTGGTGCTTAGAAAGTTGGTACCTCAAGGTACCAACCCAGGTTGTGACCCTAGCTCAGGATGTCTGGTCTGTCCTCACCATCTCCTAAAGGGGACATTCCCAGCACAGGACCCTTGAACAAGATAATGCACCAGAAGATCCAGACTGCTTTGCAGTGTCCAGTAGCCACCACGACATAATCATTTCCAAGCATTTGCACCCCACTTACATTTTAACCCACACACTTCACCCTAAAAAATGCTTGGCTTAGGTGAGTAAATTAAAGCCACATCCAGGCTGCAACAGAAGCCGTTAGCAAAATATAAAGCGAAATCTACCAGCTGCCATGAGCATGCTTGACAGAAAAAGGAGGCACCTGGAATTGTCCCAGGTGGATATCGGGTTCGACAATAACAGAATGAAGATCAGGATAGATCTGTTGAGATTTGTGACTTTAACCCCAAATCTCCACTAATCTAAATAGGGGATTGGCGGCCTCACGTGACCCGGGGGCCGGCGGTGGAAGCACACTGGGGTCAGTCGGTGCTAATCATTCTGCAGGGCAGGTTTCAAGGGCACAGGCACCTCGCAGCTTCCTTGGCACCAGATACTGACCTGAGCACTCAGGCCCACAAAGCCCCATGAAAAGCCTCCTTAAGGCTATTACAACAGATCAGTGTTTCTAGGTCCCAGGGAGTGCGGCTGGGGGAGGGTTTGTGGAGGGAGGGCATTTACCAGGGTCAGCAGCTGAGGAAATGCCCCAGCTTGAATCCATCCATGCCAATCTCTCAAAGGTTCGTGGGCAGGTCCCAGGGAAGAGGTCCTCTGTGATTTCTGCCAGGCTGTGGCGGCACAGCCTCTCCTGGCCAAAGGATCCCGGGGCAGTTTTGTGCATATGATTTCTGCCAGGGCGTGCCAATTACTAGGTCATTTAGAGGATGGCAACTTGGGAGTCGTGGTCACTACCCCAGTGGCCACCCCGTAGCCAGCAGCACTGCCTCCAGCACTTCAGTCATGGAGCTCAGAGATGCTGCTCACTAACCAACCCGTCGGCTAGCTCCAAGTAATTCTGTGATGCCACTTGGAAATGCACTTTTTCTTTTCTCCCCCTAAAAACAGATGCAAGCTTGCTGAAAACAGGGTGCAGCTGTGGAGGGGGTGAAAGGCAGACTTTGCCCCCTCTCAGTCCTCCACCCTGAACCCAGTAGGTGTTTGGTGGCCATATGGTAAGATGCCTTTGGTCCTGAGGTTTCAAAGACGAAAGAGGTGAGGAGACACTGCCCATGGGGACATGAAATGAGGGGGTGACTGATCCAATGAGCTAGCCGCTATTTTAGTGAAGGGGGTGTAGGGCTGTGGGGGCAAAGGCAGGCGCCTTCTTCAAAGAGCAGGTGTAGGGGACAGGGACACCCGTATGAAGGGAGCACTGAAATGGAGGGTTCGAAGTGGCAGGGAAGAGGCAGGAAGTCTGGCTGGGGAGGGGGCAGAGGAATGAGGGTGGGAGACATCCTGCATTCAGCAGATGCTTCCTGGCCCAAAGGTGGCCTGCACTGGGCAGGCATCTAAGCATCCGAGGCTGCCTTAAGCACCGCAGGAATCGTGCAGAGGGGGCAGGGCTGCTCTGGGCTGTCTCTGGTGACGCCTGGCAGCAGGAGAGTTCCTTGGTGAGGGGGTAACCTGGGGGCAGTTTGGTCAAGGTGCTTAGTGAAATGGCTGGATGACTGGAAGGAGGAGGAGGGCCGATGGCCTTAGGACGAAGGCATGTCTGGGGGAAGAAAAGGAAGTCACCGGCCATCATGAGAACAGGCAGGGCTTGAGCTGGGGAGCTGAGAGTGGAAGGAGAGCCGACAGTGGTCTCGGGGAGGGGCTGGGGGGTCTCCGGTGGCACTTCAGGGTGGCTGCAGCAGGGAAGGGAGGGCTGCCTGTGTGCTAGGAGCCTGGGTCCACACAGACCTGTGGGTCCTGAAGCTACAGAAGCCACTTCCTGCAGCAGAGCAACCCAGCTGGGTGTGTTAAATCCACCCTCGTGCTCCCAGCCCCAGAATCCTAGCACCAGGTCTCCCCTCTCTGCCCAGGGAGGATCAGAGTCTGGGGGGCAAGATGGAGCCCTCAGTTTTGTCAGTGGCACAGGCTCCAAAAGGCTCTCCTGGCTGAACCGTGTGGGGTTTTGTTTATCTATGTGGGGCAACAGATATGAGGTCTTGCAGAAGAATGGTAACCCACCCTGAAGATTAGCAACTCTAGCAACTCGCGGGCAGGCCGGTCCCAAACACTTGCAGAGAGCAGTTTTAGGGTTTGCCTGTCGAGCAGTCCTTTAAGCATCTGGGGCATGAGCAATTGTGAGAGCGGCGCAGAGACTATCTGTCACACCCTCGCAGGGCGGGTCCCAGCAGCCTCCACAGGGGTCTCCCACAGGGCCTACCTGCATTTCGGTCCCTCCTCCTAGGGAAACCCCAGCGCCCCCAACCACCGGAGTCCTCCGGTGCCGCACCCCGGACCTGGAATCCCGCGGGGTTTTGGTCACCTGGCCGCCTGGCAACTCCGCAGCCACTCCATCCCAAGGCTGCCCAGGAAAAAGCCTAGCCCTTCCCAGACGGAACCTCGCCGGCACTGTTCCCCCGGCCCCCCACCAGGCCACAGCCCTCACTCCCAGCCCCCGCGACCGCGCACTCACCTAGCTGCCCTGCCTGCCTGGCCCGACTCCAACTCGGGCTCGCGGCAGGCGGCACTGGCGTGGCCGTGTGGCCCGCTGGCCCCGAGGCCCTCTGGCCGGGCCGGGGTGCGG